AATACCGAGATGCACTTTGGAAGAAAGGTCTGGCAATCTATTTCTGAAACTTCAGCCATTGGAGCCCAGTTCAGTTCCGACACACAGGGGATAGCCTTGAGTTAGAATCGATTTCATGGCAGCTGTTTTTTTGGACTGATTTTAAGAAAGATTACAAACAAACTTTTCAACGTCGAGTAAAGACCCAAACCTAGAACTGTGAAGATAATCCAGGAACGAGATAGACAAACTCAGGGCTCTGATGAGGGACATAAATACAGTGCCAAACATGACTGGGAACAAACAGAGAGAGAAAGGCAAAGTAGATGACTGGGACCGCCTAAAAACTGGACACCTATGTGCAGCAAAAAAATTTGCCAAGAGTTAAAAGAGCCCACAGACTGGGAAAACTTTTTTTGCAATGATATATAATACAAGGGACGATTCTCTAGAACTTACAGAAAACGATAGTGCAGTATAGGAAAAAAATCAAATAGCCCAATTTCAAAACAGGCAGAGGACATGAACAGACACTTCACCAAAGAAGACATTCAGGTTGTCAACAAACATAAGAAGAAATATTCTCAGTCATTAGCCATTGTTGTTGTTAAGTGCTGTTGAGTCCGTTCTGACCCATAGTGATCCTGGAGAGGGTTTCTGAGGATCAACTGGTGAGCTTGAACCACCGACCTTGGGATTCAAACCGACTTTGCAGTCCAGCGCATTAACTTACAGCACCACACTAGGACTCCCATTAGCCATTAGAGAGATGCAAATCAAAACAACAAGCTATCACCTCACCCCAGCTTTAGTAGCAAAGTTCAAATAAATGGAAAATAACAAAATTCTAACAAGAGGGGGGAGACACTGAACCCCTTTACTCTGCTGGTGGGTCTGTAAATGGTGCAGCCTCTATGGAAAATGGTCTGGCGTCTCCACAGAACGTTGGAAATAGCAATACCACATGGCCCAGCAGTCCCCTTTGGTGGTGGTGGTGGTGGTTTTGGGCTGTGGAGTCAGTTCTGACTCCTAGCAACCCTGTATTGGGTTTCTGAAGCTTTAAATCTTTACTGGAGCAGAAAGCCTCATCTTTCTCCAGTGCGGCAGCTGGTAGATTTGAACTGCTGACCTTGCAGTTTGCAGCCCAACGTACAACCCACTATGTTACCAGGGCTCCTTAGCAGGCCCCCTACTTGGTATACCCTTGAGAGATAAGATCCAGGACACAGGTAGATCTATGCACCACCCCTGTTCATTGCCGCACTATTTACAACAGCACAAAGATGGAGACAGACTAAATGCCCATTAATGGCAGAACAGACGAACAAACCTTGGTGCATACACACGGTAGAATACTATGTAACTTTGGGAAAAATAACAATGAATCTGTAAAACAGCTCATCACACGGATGAACCTGGAGGACATTATGCTGTGAGAAATTAGTCAGTCACAAAAGGACAAATATCGTATGAGACCACTGTTGTAAAACCTTAAGAAAATATTTTCATGCTAAAAGAAACATTCTTCGATGGTTACCAGGGTTGGGAGGGAAGGGAGAATAATTCACTGGCTAGAAGGCAGACATCAGAACGTGGCTTGAGGACAGGAAGAAGACTCATTATCTCTGGTAGCATAGTGGTTATGAATTGGGCTGCGAACCACAAGGTCAGCAGTTCGAAACCACCAGCTGTTCTGCGGGAGAAAGATGAGGCTTTCTGCTCCTGTAAAGATTTACAGCCTCGGAAACCCTTTACAGGGTCGCTATGAGTCGGAACCGAGTCCAAGGCACATAACAACAACAACAAATATGTAAGATGATAAAACCTTGCTTGATGACAGTGAAGAGGACTTAAAATACTTTCTGATGAAAATCAAAGACCACAGCCTTCAGCATGGATTACATCTCAGTGTAAAGAAAACAAAAATCCTCACCACTGGAGCAATAAACATTTATATAAATGGTGTAAAGATTGAGGCTGTCAAAGACTTCATTTTGCTCAGATCAACCATCAACACTCATGGAATCAGTAGTCAAGAAATCACATTAGGAAAAAAGTGTTGCACGAGAGCTCTTTAAATTGTTCAAGAGCAAAGATGTCCGTTTGAGGACTAAGGCGAGCCTGACTCATGACTCAAGCCGTGGTATTTTCAGTAGCATCACATGCATGTGAAAGGTGGACAATGAATAAGAAGACCGTAGAAGAATTGATGCTTTTGAGTTATGGTGTTGGAGGAGAATATTAAAAGTACCATGGGCTGCCTTAAGAACAATCTGTGTTGGAAGAAGTGCAGCCAGAGTGCTCCTTAGAGGCCAGGATGGCTAAACTTCATCTCTCATACTTGGGGCACATTATCAGGAGGGACCAGTCCCTGGAGAATGACATCATGCTTGGTAAATTGGAGGGTCAGAGAAAAAGAGCACGACCCCCAATAAGAAGGATTGGCACAGTGGCAGAAGCGATGGGCAAGTGTAGCAACCATTGTGATGTTGGCACAGGACGAGCAGTGTTTCATTCTGTTGTGCATAAAGTCTCTATGAGTCGGAACCTAACAATAACAACAACAGAGGGTGGACACATAGTAACTTGGGCGATGTACAAGAAGAGGGAGGTTGGCAGAAGAATAATGAAGACAGGTGGTTTGCAAGGGTTAAATGGGATAGAGGTGGGTACACAACCTTGAAAGGCAATGAGCTACAGATGGACTCATGGACAGAGGCACAGGCTGAATGTATGTGGGAGGGAGAGCGGGCGTATACCCACAAATATGTACGGGTTTGAAAGAAAATCTTTGTAGGTGCGAATTCACCTATGAATGTGGTAGAGCCATACAGGGGGTAAAATGATGAAAACTTCTTGGCTGTTATCAAACATCTTAAGGCAAGGGTTGCTGGTATGCGGGCTGAGGAGCACAGTCTCGGGACACCATGGTCAGTTGACATAGCATCGTCCACAAAGACAGTGTTCTGCTTTGATGAGTTCCCCTGGGAGCTTAAGACTCGTGAGCAGCCAGCCATGTAAGGTGCAACTATTGGTCTTTTCATGTGCAGAAGAAAGAAGAGTGATGAACATTTGAAGATGCTTGGAATCAGCTAGTCCAATGGACCCGTGGACCCTGTGAACGTCAGTCACCATGACTCAGACCATAAGAGCTTGATGGTGCCCAGCTCCCAGTACCAACTGCCGGGCACCATCTAGTTCTGGTCTCAGAGGGTTTATCGGAAAAGGGATCACATTAGAAGGTACCGGGTAAGACTGGGAGAAAATGTGAAACCGAACTTAAAATTTTAAAAAGGAGACCTGGTTCACTGGTCAGAAAGACTGGAGGAACACAAGACGGTGGTCCTAGACCACCCTTCTGAAAGGCTCAGTTTTCAGCTAAGCAGCAGTTAGGTGTATGGGGCCGGGGATGGGACACACACAACACTAATAAGATGTGTTCACTGTGGAATGCTCAGTCATTCAGGATCAAAAGGGCAACATTTACCTAATTAGGGACAAAGTTGAGAAGGGCTGGGATGGAGGGTGGAATGGAAATAGGACCCACAGGGAGGAAGCGGGATAGCAGGGAAGGAATTGTAATCATTGAGATTAAACAATGTGTATGCTATTTGAATGTCAAATGGATGATCTGGCTCTTTAAACAAACCTTCATTCACTCAATTCACAATAAAGAGTTAAAACAACAACAAAAACCAAACTACAAATCCAGAGAGCAATTTGTTCTGGGCTGCACATCTGGGGTCGCTATGAGTTAGAACTGACTTGGTGTCAGTGGGCTTGGGGTCAGTTACTGAACCCTAATGAAGGATCAGGGGGATTGGTTCATCAGAAAGAAAGCCTGGTGGTGCAATGATTCAGCACTCATCTGTTAATCCAAAGTCCGGTGGTTCAAACCCATCCAGAAACTCCAAGGCAGAAAAAACTTGGCAGTCAGCTGTTGTAAAGATGACAGCTTAGAAAACTCCATGGGGCAGGTCTGCTGTGCCGTATGGGGTCACGTGGAGTCGGGTTTAAGTCAATAGCTCAAAACAACACGTTCTCAAGGCACGCTTAGCACAAAATCAGCCTATGGGAAGGTAGGAAGGTGGATTTATGAATGACATGAGGATCCTTTGTGGGGATTTTGGTTGTGTAGCAGGTGACTATATCCCCAGATGGTAACTGGGCACCTCGTCTTCACAGTAGGAGCTGAAGACAAGCCGGGACCCATTGGCCATGTTTCTAGGGTGTGTGCTTCCATGTTTATCCCTCAGCCCTACTTGTTTGGAAGTCACAGGGACCCACTGTTCAGATGGTTGTCATTATTTACCTTCAGATTGGCTCTGACTCACGACCCCATGTACATGAGAATGAGACCTTGCCCGGTCCTGTGCCGTCCTCACCATCATTGGCGTATTGGAGTCCCCTGTGTGTTGAGTGCTTCCAACCCAGACCACACACATTCTGTTGCGCTCCGTCGGGTTTTCATCGGCTCCTTTTCAGAAGTAGAACGCCAGGCCTTTCTTCCTAGTCTCTCCTTACATGGAAACTCGGCTGTAACCTATCCACCGAGGTGACTCTACTGGTATTTGAAACACTGGTGGTCTAGCTTCCAGGGTCACAGTGGCATGAAAACCACCACAGTAGGACAGACTGACAGATGAGTGGTGGATGCATAGCTTGTTCATTACATAAGCTGTATCTTCCATGGTCTGGGTATAATGTAATCACTCCATGTATCAGGCAAATTCCTCCAAACACGTCATTCAGAGAAATCGCTCCCATGTCTAGATGGCCACCTAGTCTTAGCCATTGTCCACTGACTGGTTTGGAGCTGTGGGTTAATGCACTGGACTGCAAAGTCAGTTTAAACTGCAAGGTCAGTGGTTTAAGCTCACCAGGATCGCTATGAGTCGGAATCAACTCGACGGCACTTAAAAACAACAACATAACCCGCTTATATGTCTGTCCCTTGGCAGGGGCCCCCTCCCCCCTTCTGCATATTCAGAAGGTTAACCCAGCTGTCGTTTGCTTTTCAGATTTGCCTGAAGAGCACCTTGCTGATGGCAACGCTACTGCAGACACAGCAGAGACCTTCAGCGACAAAGACACTGACCAACGCAGCTCCCCAGACGTGGCTACCAGCAAGGGCTGCCTGGCCTCCGAAAGCCCCGAGATTGTGTCCGTGGACGAAGGGGGGTATGCCGTCCAGAAGAACGGCAGCTCCTCTGAGAGCCGCCCCAGCAGCCCCAAGTACCACGCGGAGCAGAGCCACCTCCTGATCGAGGGCCCCTCAGGGACTGTGTCTCTGCCCTTCAGCCTGAAAGCCAACAGGCCTCCGCTGGAGGTGCTCAAGAAGATCTTCCCCCACCAGAAGCCCACTGTGCTGGAGCTGATCCTCAAGGGCTGCGGGGAGGACTTGGTGAGTGCCGTCGAGGTCCTGCTGTCCAGTCGGTCCTCTGTCACTGGGGTGGACCGGACTGCCGCAGAACCCGAGAGTCTGGTTCTGCCCTCCAACGGGCACATCTTCGAACATACCCTGAGTCCCTACCCCATCTCCTCTTCCAAGTGGTCTGTGGGCTCCGCTTTCAGAGTCCCAGACACGTTGCGCTTCTCTGCCGACTCTAACAATGTTGTGGCCAACCCCTTGGCTGTCCCTCTGCAGCATCCCTTCCCCCAGCCGCCCCGCTACCCGCTGATGCTGCGGAACACGTTGGCGCGAAACCAGTCGAGCCCCTTCTTGCCCAATGACGTCACGCTGTGGAACACCATGACCCTACAGCAACAGTACCAGCTGAGACCCCAGTATGTCAGCCCTTTCCCCAGCAACTCCCCCAGCGTCTTCCGGAACTCTCCGGTCCTCCCCAGCCGCCCCACCGAAGACCCGAGGATCTCCATCCCTGAGGACGGCTGCCCCATGGTGTCCAAGCAGACCCTTTACACTGAGGACGAGTACGACGAAAGGTCCGACTCCTCAGATTCCAGAATACTCAACACATCATCGTAACGTGGTGCCAGATGGGTGGGGACCAGGTCACCTTCCTGTGCATTTGAGCTCGGTGTCCACAGACCCCTCTCTTCTGGTTGACAGAATAACTGTCCTCCATCCTAGCTTTAGCAATAAAATAAAAATAAAGTAACAAGCCCATAACTTATTTAATTCCACACACTCCATTGGAAAATGCCAAATAACTGCTCTGTGGCTTTCGTCCTGAATGTTTGTCATTAAAGAGAATCTTACACTGAGAACAGTCTTGGGAAAACTGGGCCCGCAGACGTTTTATTTGGGGCTGTAAAGTTGGAGGTTGGCTTTGCTCTTACTTGCAACCTGGAATGTTTCATGCAACAGTATACTTGAATGTCATTTTGTAAACAGGGGTTCCTCCACATACGGGAAGCTTTCAGGAAGGGGTTCGATGGCCAAGGGACCAAACAGGGATGCTGTCTTCTAAGAGTTCTCCAGGTCTTTGCAGGAGAGACTGCTCCTGAGAATCGAATAAACTATCCACCTGCTTCTGGAAGCTCAGACACAGCTTCCAGAGAGGAACTCCATTCAACGATCCTTTCCACATGACCGAGTCACCATGTGTAATGTTGATGTCAAACGGATCACCGCTGTGAACTGCATGACGTGTGTTGTGAAATGAACACGAGATTAAGCTTTGTCAGGCTCATGTAGCATGCTGAAGGACTCTAGAACAAACAATAAACTAATGAGATGATCTTCGTCTCTGTGGTTTTTGCATGTGGAAAGAGCTGTTCTTAAAAATAGACACTGGATGTTAACACTTCTCACTAGACAAGACCCTGTACCCGGAATCAAGATGTCAGTTAAAACGAAACAACCCTCCCAAAACGTGGGCGGCAGAGCACCGGGGCTGTGTTCTTGGTTCTTGTTTCAGAATCGTTCCAAACCCCGTTGCTGTTAAGTCCATTCCAAGGTGTGGTGACCCCAGGTATTGGTGAAATCGGTTGAGGGCTTGACTCCTAACCCAAAGAGTGGGGATTCCAATCCACCCAGAGGTGCTTCAGAAGAAAGACCTGGTGATCTGTTTCTGAAAGGTCACAGCCCTGTGGAGCACAGTTAGTTCATGGTGACACCCAGAGGGTCACCAGGATTTGGAGTCAACTCAATGGCAGCTTTTTTCTTTTTTTTTAAACTATGAAAAAGAGCAAGCTCTTTGAATGTTACTCAGATTATTGGCCCCTGAGTTCGTGAGTTGGAGGGCTTATCATAGAGGGTCCAATTAAAACCAAAAGAAGAAATAACATCAAAGATGTACAGTCCAGCGTGGGAGAGGGGATCCCAGTTCTTGATGGTGGTGATGGTGGTTATGTGCTATGGAGTCAGTTCCAACTTAGTGACCCTGTACAGGCACCTGACATACAGAAATGACTCAGGTAAGACCTTTAGCTCCGATTGTCATTGAAGAGCCCTGTAGAGCTTGGGTTAAGTGCTTGGCTGCTAACTCAAAGTTGCGGTTTGAACCCACAAGGCACTCCACGGGAGAAAGATCTGGAATCTGCTTCTGTACAAGTGACCGAACCAATGTCTAAACCCTTTGCTGTCTGGTTAATTCCAACTCACAGCAATCCTATCAGACAGAGTGAAGTGGTCCCATAGGATTTCCAAGGCAGCCATCTTCATAGAAACCGACGGCCACCTCTTGTTCCCTCTGAGCAGGTGGGGGGTTCAAATCACCTTTCAATTAGCAACTGAGTGTTTAGCCCATAGAGCGACAACCTGGGAAACCCTGTGGAGAAATTCTACCCGGTCACCTGGGACCACCATCAATGGGAACAACCTTAACAGAACCTAACAACATTATCAATCCAGTCAAAGAGGTTTGGGCTTATAATGTAAATGTGAATATTCCCCCATTCTCAATCTCATGCAGAGAAAATTCCACTCTGCCTTGAGGGATCGAGAAAACCTTGAAAACCAGGAGTCTATTTTAAATTTTGAGAGTATTTTTGGGGATGCTGACTGCTAACCTCAGGGTTGGTGGTTCCGGGAGAAGGATGAGGCTTTCTGTTCCCAGAAAGAGTTTACAATCTCAGAAACCCTGTGGTGGTGGTGGTCATGTGCCACCGAGTTGGTCCTGACTGACTCACAGGGACCCTGTGTAGGGTTTCCGAGGCTGTAAATCTTTTCAGGAGCAGAAAGCCTCATTTCTTCCACAGAGCAACTGGTAGATTCGAACTGCTGACCTTGCAGTTAGCAGCCCAGCTCGGAAACTCCTCCACTGCCCGAACTCCCTCAGAACCCATTTAGAGGGTTGCTGTAAGTTGGAATTGACTTGATGGTAGGCCTTGGTTTTTTTGTTCGTTGGCACGTGGGGAAGCAGCCCTAGTGGTACCGTGGGTTCAGCATCTCAGATGGGACACTCTGCTCCTGTGAAGATGGACAGTCTCAGAAACTCAGGGGAGCAATTCTGATTTGTCCCGTAGGGCCTCAGAATCAACTTGATGGAGTATGTAGGGTAAGCACTGGACTACAAACCACAGGTCAGGTGGTTCAAGTCCACCAGCTGCTCCGTGGGAGAAAAATGAGGCTTTCTGCTCATGCCAAGATTCACACTCTCGGAAACCCTATGCAGGGTCGCTATGAGTCGGAACTGATTTGCCAGCACTTAATACTAATAATCATGGGTCCCTCACACTACCTGGCAACTTGCTTTCTTTTTGCAAAGTCCTTGAAAGGTGAGGAGATGTGTGGCTCAGCACGTTACAGTGTGGAAGGGGCAATGGCATATGCATTTCTGGAAACTTCTCCGAGACAAGGATGCAGGGACCCCTCAACTGGAGCTCAGGAGTGGGAACTGGCAGGAGTCAGGGGAAGATGAGCTGGTTTAAAAGTCAAGCCTTCTCCCTGTCATGGGCACTTTGGGAATGAGAACCCTGAGGGAAGAACATACTTTACATTAGTTGGACTGAAAATGTGTTCTTAAAGAGTCCTGGTCATAACAGTGGTGAAACGTCGGCAGTTCTAACCCACCAGCTGCTTCTGGGGAGAAAGAGAGCAATTTGCTTCTGTAAAGACTGTTGTTGTTAGGTGCCATGGACTCGGTTCCGACTCAGTGACCCTGTGTACAACAGAAGGAAACCCTGCCCGGTCCTGCAGCGGCCTCACAATTACTGCTACGCATGAGCCCATTGCTGCTGCCACTGTGCCAATCCATCTCATTGGGGGTCTTTTTTTGTTGGCCCTCCGCTTTACCAAGCATGATAGCCTTCTCCAGGAACTGATCTATCCTAATGACATTTCCTAAGAACATGACATGAAGTCCCACTGTCTTCACGTCTAAGGAGCACTCTGGCTGTACTTTTTCCAACACAGATTTCATTCTTTCTGGCAATTCATGATACTTTCAGTATTCTTCACCAACGCCATAATTCAGAAGCATCAGTTCTCCTGTCTTCCTTATTCAATGTCCAGCTTTCACATGTATATGTTGTTGTTGTTAAGTGCCAGTGAGTCGATTCCAACCCATAGAGACCCTGTATAGGGTTTCCGAGGAACAGCTGGTGAGCTTGAACCACCAACTTTTCAGTTCAAACGGCTTTACAGTCTGACACATTAACCCACAGCGCCACACCATGAGGTGGTTGAAAGTATATGGCTTGGGTCAGGTGCATCGTAGTCCTCAAGCTGACATCTTGGCTCTTTAACACTTTCCAGAGGTCTTGTGTATTAGATTTACCCAGTCCAATATGCAGTTTGATTTCCTGATGACTGCTTCCATGAGGATTGCTAACTTCAGTCATTTCTCCTTTACACATGACGTTGCTTATTGGTCCAATGGTGAGAATTTTTGTTTTGTTGTTGTTTGGTGTAATCCATAAATCTGTAAAGATTACCGCCTGGGAAACTGGTAGTATTCCAATTCATATTAGTGTTCATATGAGGCCAAGAGTGAGACAAGAATAATTGATCCCTTGATTCTAAGTGCTGGACCATATCTGGGCCCTCCTAGGCCCAATGTACTTCAGAAAGTTTACTCACATTCATTTAACAAGCAGCAGTGGTCCCAGGTTCCTAATGGGACAGTGATGTTTCCTCAGCTGTCACTTATCCATGTTGCCCCGAAGGAACAGGACATGGCTGAGATGGTGGCCGGCAGCGAGATTTAGCCTCCATATTGTCAGGATCACTGGCTTTTTTTTTCGGATGACCAGCAAATGCAGTTCTCCCTGAGACAGTGAGTGAGTGGGCTCATTCATTCGTGCAGGCACGCTTCCGCGTCAGTGCAACCTTCCGGAGGCACAGCTGTTTGATTCAGCAGGTTAAATGTGGTCAGAGGTTAAACGTGAGAAAGTGGTTGTTCAAACCCTCCTTCTGTCCTGGTTTCGTTTGCTCCGATGGCTCAGTGGTAGCGTTCTCACCTCCCATGTGGGAGACTCGGGTTCAGTTTTCGGTCAGTACAGTTCATCGACAGCCCCTGCCCACCTGTCAGTGGAGGCTCGCGTGTTGCTATGATATTGAACAGGTTTTAGCGGAGCTTCTAGACTTACGACAGAAGAGGAAGAAAGGCTTGGAGAAAACCCTGTAACAGGCCAGCAGCGTTTCATGGTGATGGTGCAGAACCCCAAACACCAAGACCACACCCACTGACTGCCATTGAGACATGTCCTACTCCTAGCCTTTCTATTGGACAGTAGAACTGTCACTCAGGGTTTCCTAGGCTGTACATCTTCATAGAGGCGGACTGCCTCATCTGTCTTCAACTGAGTGGCTAGTGGGTTTGAACCACTGACACATTGGCTGCTGAATGCTTCATCCATTGTGCCACCAGGGCGCCTCTGGTGCAGGACTGTTGTTGTTGTTATGTGTTGTGGAGTCGATTCCGACTCATAGCAACCCTGTATAGGGTTTCCGAGGCTATAAATCTTTATGGAAGCAGAGAGCCTCATCTTTCTCACGCGAAACAGCTGGTAGTTTTGAACTGCTGACCTTGTGGTTTGCATCCCGATTTGTTACCACTATGCTACAGGACTGGCGTTGTT